ACTATTAAAAAACTAAAATACTGAAACAAAAGCAACCCATACACCTGTTTTATTTAAAACTTCTTTTGGGAAGCAAAAAATTTGCAATATGCCTTTTTTTTTAGGTTTTCTTTTTCCTTTTTTTCTTTGTCAGGAAGCTGGTGTTATACAGATTATCAAGTGGAAAAAGAAGTGCTTTGTTATTGTTCTTGGTGCTCCCTCCACCTGTGTTTCTGATACTGTGTTTTATGTGACTTTTGACTCCTAATGAGGTTTGTAGAGATTTAATTTTACATTTTTATGCCTCCTGACCAGTGACTTGGTAAATTTTTTAAAAGAGACAGGAGGAAGAAATGGAAGTTGGAATACAATAAAATCAGAGTAATGTTCTGTGCCTAATTTTTCTCAGGAAACCACATTAAAAATAAGGCTTGAAATTTTGCTTGATTAAAGTATGTCCACAATAAGCCTAGAAGAAACCCAGACTGTGGTGATGACATGAGAAATTACTTCAGGTATTCTTGATCTGGCATCTCCAGCACTCAGAATACACACCAGAGGTTTGTGTAGTGTCATAAAAATGTTCTGTGTTTAATTATTAGTAACACTTTACAATTGATGTGCATTTTTGAGAACTGCCTGGCATTTAACTGCTGTTTTCATGAGATTATTTATTGAAAGTTTGTACTATTGAATGTTATGTCATATTAACTTCAGACTGTGTTTTTCTTCTAAATGTTGGGTTAGGTTTGTTTCTTCCTAAATGCGTAAGTTTATACATATTTATGTGTAAGGTCTGTGTATAAGATCTACTTATCTGTAGATAAATAGATCTATATTCTTTTATGCTCCCTTTATAACTGCAGTGTTAAGGTGGATAATGCAAAATGTTACCTAAAATAGATGTTTAGTTTTTGTTTGTCCTCTAACATAAAGGTAGCAAAAGTAGCATTAGTTTTCAAATTTTAAAAAATATCTGGGCTTCTCCTTTTAAACTTCACCCCTCACCCTAACTTTGTAAAACTCCTGAATGTTGTTTTAATGCGTGGGAGTAATGGAATTCTGTCAGTATAAAACATACCTAATAGTGTTAGTATAAAACGAACATATAGTAACTTTGTGGCTTTTCTTCAGATTTCTCAGGTGAGTTTTGACCTTGAAACCCTTGGTGTTTTGACAAAAGCAGTAGAGAAATCTAATTTACTTGAAGCAGCCATTTCTGTTTTGGCAGGCATGTTTTTTTGAAAATACAGTCTGGGGCCTGACCTTGGCAATATGTGGTGGAACATGAATATGTTGCTACAAGTGTTAGTAGTTAATAAACATCAGCTTCTTCCTTATTTTAATATTGGAAGCATTGTTTCTAGAACATGTGCTTGGCACACTTAACCTCTGTATGTTTCCATATAAATGTCTACAAATGCTGAGCATAAGACTGCAACTTTGTTAGTTTTTGCTTACTTTGGATTCAAATCCTTGAATAATTTACTGTAGTTTTCTAACTATGGGTGTATGAATATACTCACTTGCATTCACAGAATGATGCTTGTTTTCAGAAGAAGCCTTTGGACATGTAGCAGGGTAAAGTTCTGAAGCAAGTTGCAGTAAAATAATACAGAGACTTGGAAAGAATTCCAGAATTAGCTCACTGTTTTCCAGACTATGGCATATTTACTTTTGGAGTATCTCTGCCCAGAAACTCGTAATCACACTAAATCTGATACCACAGTCCCCTGTCCAGATTCAGTTCTGCTGGGAAGGTAGACTTAATGTTATTCTGAGTATCATTCATTGAGATATAAATAATGGAAGGAAAGCTATTAAGTCTGTACATGTATGTGGCTGTCTTTTTCATATGGAGCATTCTTGCCAAATGTGGAATGATGATTTTTTCTTTTAATCATGCCATTGTGATAGGTTACTTCATCATAAATTTTGGACTAGAAAAGCTCTTTGAAAAACCGTTAAGAATCCACTGGGTAGCTTTGAGCTGTACTGAAATTGCATACAGGAGAATATCCTGTAAAAATATCCTAAAATTATCCTCTTCAAATCCTAATCCCAACCCACAAACCTTTTCCTTAATATTCTGAACACTAGTGCTCCTGCCTAGAGATGATTGCTACTTAGATCTCCAGAAATGAGAAAAAGGTGATGTTCAGTGTTAAAGAAGTTCCTTGTGCTGCTTCTTTTCTGTAATATCAGCTGTGTATGTAGGGCAAGAGTAAAACAGCATCTTTAAACAAAAGAAAAAGACTAAATGTCTTTTCTGCCTAGGTGGCCTTTCTCAGAGCAAAGGCAGCTTTTGTGGGGGTGGAACAGAACTTGGTTTGTTCTGTAGTGCTTCCTGTCCCACAGATGTGGACTGGTAATGTTGATTTCATGAAGAAATAATGTTGGGGGGTTTTTGTCTCACAAATAACTGTTAGGTTCCAAAATAAAATTACAGAAGTAAGTCTTGTGTGCTCAAGATGGGGTTGTAAAAGTGTGTATTCAACATAGTTAGGTACCTAATTGGGTGCTTAAAGTTAAGTGATGTATATGCATATGTAAGTAATTAAATTATATTAGGAAATTCTTTATTTGTCATAGTCTGTGCTCTGCTCCCTACAGATCAAATTATAGGCAGAATTATTTTTGCAGCTATTTGAAAATACTTGCTTTCCAAGTAATTTCTTTATTTTTGTTTGGGTTTTTTTTTTTCTGTGAGATTAACAAGGCCTAAACTATCTGTGAAAAATCCAAACCAGTGTGGAAAATACAAAAAGCATATGCCAAAGGGAGACTTGAAAGGAAGTTATATCTAGCGAAATTTGTTATAATTAAACACCCTGAGGTCAGAAATCATTGTGACGTTCTTTTGTGTGCTTATGAGAGGTAATGAACAGTGTAGCTCATGGGATTGAAGTCAACAGCTAACTGTTCTGGAACAGCTTCCTTTAGTAGATTTTCATGCCTTCATCTCTCTTCAGCAGAAAATGTCATAATGGGGAGACCTTTGACAATTTATTTTATAAGTGAAACCAGCTGTTGGAGTGAACCAGCTATTGGGGAGAAACCAAGAAGTCACACTTTGTACACACACCTGAGTTTCTGATGTACCTGGTGATCAAAAAGAGGATGAACTTTGACTTAACAGTTGGGGCACAGGCAAAAAACCAGCCTCCACAGTATTTGCTGCTTCTAGGTTATTATCAAAACAGAGATTTCTGTTTAAATTGCTCACATCTGAGAACATTTGGGAAAAGGATAAGGGGATTGCACTGGAGAACAGACCGTCAGACCTGGAAGTGAGGTTGTTTTCAGTTCATTCATCATGAAGGTCTCTTGGGTAGCCCACTGAATAGTCAGGTTACCGAGTGCTTTATTTTAGGCCTGAAGCCTGACCATTAATACACCAGAATGTGCCAAATTTATGCTGCATTAGCAGCAGGAAAATGCTAGTACTAGAAGGAAAAATAGGCAGCAGGCTACTGGAACAGTACACCAGAAGAGTGTATCAGAATAATTTCCAGTTTGTCATTACGTTGATTTATTGACTGTGAATCTTTTAGTCTAAATATTTAACATTAGTTTTTCTGTTGCTTATTTTCAGAAGTACCAATTCCTTGTTTTGCATCAACATTCCCCCAGTCCTCACTTTGTATTGTGACTGGTGTTGGGTAACCTTTAACTGTATATCCTGTGAGAAGGGACTATCCTCTGTGCCTCAGTTGTTTGGGCTTGAAGTACAGGTTTTAAATTAGCACAGCCTGTCAACTGATAAAGAGGAGATTACCAGTTCTTACTGCCTTTTTATAATGCTGCCATTTACTATTAAATACTAATGTTTGAATGGGGATCACTTGTACTGGTGTGGATTACTGTAGCATTACTTAGTCCACCTGTCTGGGTGCATGCTCTTGTGAGCAAGCAAATTCATTCTGTGTCAGGCTCATCATGAATTTAATCTGAACCTGTCTTCAGAATTCACTTCTTTGTATCACATCTGCTGCAGTGATTCATTGCTTACTTTCTCTCCTGTGTGCTCAGCCTATGAACTGTTGACAGTAAAGGTTACAAGGAGGGTGCAGGTGAAATTCTGCTCCAAGTCCCTGTCACTGCTGAAAATTCTTACTTTGTATGTTTTAAGCATATAGAGTTTTGTTTGCAGAGATGGTGTGATTTTAATTGATAAATGCATGTAGGAGTTTCACTGTTAAGAAAATTTTTCATTTTCCTGAGTAGTTGAATAATCTGTGCAAAGAGCTAGAGTGACATCTGCCCATGGATGTGCATGCAAATGTGTTTTTTTCTGCAGTGTTTTTTTCTGCAGTTCAGTTTCTCTGTGTAAAACGTCAAGCTTACTTCTTTGCTTCTGTTTATTCTTAATCATTCAGCAGATCAGTTTCATACTAAGCATAAGTTAATTTCTTTAGATACTGTTTGTCAGCTAGTCATTTCAACAGCTTGAAACAGTACACTAAAGAATTTTAAATACATTTTTTTCTGACTTAGATTGGATGTTCCTGATAAGGATTTTTCTGTTTTCATTGTACATGTCTTCAGCATAGATGGAATTATAAAAAAGTAAAATATAGCACGTCTGGGTTTTCGTGTGTGTATACATTGTATTCTAATAAATCGTTATAAATATAAATTGTAAATATTGTATGTTCTATTATAGGTCATCATATTGTTGAAACTAACTTGTTAGGAAAGAAGTAACAGACTTGTCTAATAAGGGTACGGATACTAGTAAGCTGCTCATCTTGAAGATGACAGAAGAATTTTCAGAGTGCTGTAACCCTAACCAAACTACAGGAAGTGTCTGAACACTGTTCTCAAAATGCTGTTTCAATGAAAGTCTTGCCTCTTTATTTTCAGAAGTGAAAGGAGTTTCAAACATAAAATTACATGAGGTTTAATACGATGTGGTTAGCTGAAGTTCTTAGGGAATATGTATTGTGCAATGTACTTATATCTTCTTTCACTAGCTGCTGATTATTTTCATTGTTCTCTTACTCCCTTTTGCCATGTAGCCGTCCTCAGAAGGTGTGTTTGTGTCCTTTCCTGCCTGTACATCCGCTAAAGGTCTCTACCTGCCTGTATATAATTCAGCATCCAGCAGAGGTGAGTAAGGCTATGGTAACTATGGGACTTGAGCTCTAATCCTAATGCAGCAAATGGTAGGCATGAGGAAAGAGCTGTGCTGTCAGCTCACTGTCATGCTTCAGTCCCAGCCATCAGCTGAGGACCATGCAGTACCACAGTATTTGCCTCCTGCCAGATGGGATGGGGATGAGAAGCAGAGGGAGAAAATGTAAAACTTTCTGTGAGAGAGAAAAGAGGGTTTAATAAATGAAACAAAGTGAAATACAGGAGCAGTAGTACTACTACTACTGCTACTATTTGTTACAGACATCTTTTGTGGAAAATCCTTTCTTTAGGATTTTTCCCCCTTCTGGGAAGCTGAGGCCCCAGAAAGAGAATGTAAACAATTATTATCTGCTGCTGTGAAATGCAACAGGTGCAGCTGTGGTTGGCCCATGTTCCATGTTTACAATTAAGGGCCAATCAAAGACTGAGCTCTCTCTGGGACAGAATCAGGGAGAGCTCCTTTGTTATTTCATTCCTTTTTTCTATTCTTAGCACAGCAGCTTCTGAACTTTTCTCTCTATTCCTATTAGCATAGTAATAATGTAATATATATCATAAATTAATAAATCCAGCCTTCTGATCATGGAGTCAAGATTCTCGTCTATCTCTTCACCCCTGAAAGACCCTTGCAAGCCCGGTAACAATTATTAATGATAATAATAGCAACTGATGCATGATACAGTTCTCACTTCCTGCTAGTGCCCAGCCCATCCCTAAGCAGCAATGGCAGGTCCTGACCATCCCCAGTTAAATACTGGGCATGATATTCATGTGAAATAACCATGTTTAGCCTGTTTGAGTCATCTGACCTGGACATGCTCCCTCAAAATTTCTTGTGCAGCTCCTCATTGGCAGAGCATGAGACACTTGAGAAGTCCTTGGCTTAGGTAAACACTGCTTAATGTACCGATGTTCTCATTGTTGCTATCAACATTATTCTCATCCTGGATCCAGAATACAGCATTATATCAGCTACTGGAAAAAAATTAATTATATCCCAGCCAAAACAAGGGCAATCATATAATGATTTTTCCTTTTAAACATCATGACTGAATGCCAGTTCATCTGAGTTGCTATATTTGTTGTTCAGTTCATCTGAATTATTGTATCTTTGAAATCACACCTTATTTCTGTAACTCCATGCATGCAAGGCATCTCAACAGTATAGTCTTACTGGAATTGAAATCTACTTACCTTTGTACAAATTGTAAGAATGAAATAACATTGTTATTAAGTAAAATTAAATAAAATAAAGACACATGGGTGTGACTGGTGGGGTATCTTGTACAAGGCCAGGAGTTGGACTCAATGATCCTCATGGGTGCCTTCTAACTCAGCATATTCTGTGATTCTGTGAACTCTGTGTCTCACAGAGGTGCTAAGAGTTGATCCATGGAGAAATGTATTTTGATTACAGCAGTGGTCTCTTATTGATGTTAGTGTTCTGTTAAAATGTGAATTAAGCTATTCAACGTAGTGATGACCTTACCTGTTTCCCCACTGAAAACTACAGTTCAGCTACAGAACACTATGTTTTGGTTTACCAGTAGGAGGATGTACATTGATGTTTTTCTCTTTGGTTGACAGTGGCCTGTGGAGGTGGATCATAAGGTGTTTAGAAATTGTACCACATTTACACAGATCTGGGTAGATGATGGGTCTACAAATCAGACTGTGGAATTCAGAAAACTGTACTCTCATGCTGCAGCTGTTTGCTTGACATTGACAGCTGTTCAGTCAACATGCAAAGAGTAATTTCCTGAAGGAATTTAAACAGAACACAAAAAACTCAAATTTAAAAAAGTCTTCTCTTGCAGGGAAATAAAAGAGAAGCCATGACATGTTTGGGCCCTAAATGGGAAAACTGATTTTTAATGCACTGTGTATAATAGAAATATCCTCCATGTGACTTCCTATTTTAAAACCACCTAAATATACACTGAAGTCACTTGCTGGGAAAAAGAAGTTTAAAAATATGCCAGAGATATTGAATTGGCATTTTAATTGTGTTGAATTCCCTGTTCATGATGGAGAGTATTAGAAAAGTCTGCAGATTTTTCTGGATTTATACAGCAGTCCAGTGTCTGGAAGGCTATCTACAACTTTTTATTATTTAGCAATCAGAACAGGTGTCTGTTACAATGAGATGCAAGTTTTCTATTACTCTATGTTGCATAGTGATAATTTATAGAATAAACTATCCTTGGAAGACCACTATGGTAACTATCCAACTATATGAGGGCCCTTGGCTTATCAGAGATAAGTCCTGTTAAATGGTGGTCTTTGGAGGTAGTCACAGGTGGTGCTTTTGATTGCATAACTGCAGAGGTGTACGTGACAAAAAATAAGTTCCCTTTGCTGCTCACACTCAAAAGACAATCAGTCTTGAAGGCAGATGAGCCTTTGGGGCTGTATCTGATCCTTCAGTCTGCCATTGCATTACAGATACACTCTTAACAGTCTGTTTCAAAAATAACCCAATAAACGAACCAGATAGAGAATATCTATCCCCTGCTGCCCGCCAGTCTTAACTGTCATCCCCCACGTGCTTCACTGTTGGCTTTGGAAGTCTGCAGTACATTGAATTAAGCCTTCAACTCTTGTCAAATGGTGCTATTGAGACTGGTACTGAGGTAAGATAGTAATGCAGAAAGTCATGAAAAACATTTCCTGTGTTTGGATTAATGTGACTAATGTCTTCACATTCACACTATCCAGAGACCAAGCTGCCAGATAGACCTGCACATGTACCAGGTTTTGTCAAAGGGAGAAGAATCACTTGCTGTAGAACAGTGGATCACATGTGGGAAATTGTACTGTCAAACTTCCATTTTGCATAATAGCTATATGAATTATTTAGATCTTTGCTTGTGGAGGAATCCAAGGACAATATAGCGTTCCATGTCAAGCTCTAAATACTCAGATCAGTGTTATTGCATCATTGCGCATCATGAGACTAACTTAAAAACTAAAAATATAGAAATCCAGCATCAGGACTAGTGCAAAGGTGATGGAATTATTTGCTCAGTCTGATTTTTTTTTTTTTTTTGCATATAGGTAAATATATATATGTGTATATATACCTCTCTCTCTCTATATAGATAGGTATAGATATATAATATAAATATATAAGTAAATAGAATAATTGTGTCATTTTTCCTTTTTCATGCTTGCTGTTATGATCCAGAGGTCAGTGGCATAGCTAGGTGTACAAACCCCTTTTTGTCTGACCTTTGCCTTTGATTATTCTTGGAAGTGATTGCAAGTAGGATGTACTTTTCAAAACCTGAGTGATGTGTGTAACTCAGGACAGAACCCTGAAGCATCTATCTGTGGAAATTGAGCCCTACCCAGGTTTTCTACTGATCCTGATACTATTTCATTAATGCTAATGCTTTTTTTTGCCCACTGTTTATTATTCAGTGATTTTTCTCTCAAGTTTTGTTACTGTTTTTTATACTGATAGCCTAGTTCAAATTTATGGTGATGATCGTAGATTAGTTGAGATCGAGTTCAATATTGTCAATTAAAACAATACAATCTGAAGCATCAAGATTGGGGCTTTTTTCCTGAAGATTTTTTGTCCTGTTACCTGCTAAATTTTTTTCTCTGTCTTTAGTCAACAGATTTTGATAGAAAATAAAAACATTAATAATTCATAGAAGCCTTTCTTGATTTTATTCAAAAGTAACTTTTCTTTTTTTTACAGGAAAGTCGAGTGTTAAGAACGGTACCTTTGCTAGCAGCTTGTCTCCCTCCAGACAAGTGCAAAATTTTGGTTGGTCGACGTTTTAACGAAGACAGGTGAGCAGGATTGCCTGTGCATTTTCTGGTTCTCTGTAAGTCATAGGAATATGCCTTTCAGTGTCTTTTAAAATAGCCAACAGTGTTCTTAATTTTTATTTCAAGTGTGCACACTCACATTCTGATTTCCAAAGATAGAAGCACTTGATATTCTTCCTTCAGGTCATAGTCTCAGTTCTGCGTTCTTGGAGTGTTCACATGGCTACTTTCAAACTCTTATCTGTTTCCAGTTCTGTTCTTTCTACTAGGTCTGTTTTGCTATTCTATTTTGTTCTTTTTTGATTTGCTTTATCTGACTAACCATTTAGTGTCACTGAAGTAAAACTAATAGTTTTTACTCAAGTGTGGGAAACTGAGAAAGCAGCCTCGTTGTGAGATTAGTTTAAAACTCTTTAAAATTTAAAAAAAGAAATATTAATTTTCTTCTTCCTCTTAAAATTAATCATAAGAAAGCATAGCTCTCAGAAATTTTAAATTATTTTTTCTAATATTCTGACACATTGGAAAATACTGCTTTCCCATATAACATCTTTAATCTTCATTAGATGAAGCTAAATCTTAGAAACCAGGTCCTGGTACAAATGCCAGTGAAGTTTTACTACATACATTTTTAATAAAGCAAATAGAAAGTGTGAATACTTAAGAAGGAAATTAATTCTCAAATGGAGTTGAATCCTTAGAGGAACTTCTGTGGGTGGTTAATACTTGCTGTTTTCTTTTTCTTTAATAAAAATTGAATGTTAATGTTAATACACATGACATGATGAGCAAGGCCAGTTGAAATATACAAAAGTGTGGGGGAGAACAGGGGGGTAGGGCATCTGTTATCTCAATTCAGTAAAGTGATTACTTATTCCTGAATACAGAGTTAAGGCATAATTTACATAGCTGGATATACACTGTACAGTATGGTTTTCTAAAACTCCAATTACAAAAGCCTTTACATTTGAAGGATCTCTATTAAAATACTCTCTACAAAGATAGAGAACTTCAAAACAGTGGAATGTAGCAGGATGGGCAAAAAAAAGTGCTGATGTCTTTTCCCTGCATTGTTCATAGGCTTGTACAACTGCAGTATATTTGGTATTCACTATGGAAATGTTAGGGCAAAAAGCAACTATTGTCTCTTATGCATGAATAAAGTACAATTTATTGGATTAATACTCTTTTTAGGCTACTAATAAAGTTTTGTAGGTATTTGTTTTTGTATAATAATACTGTTTCACTCAGAAGTAATTGTGGGCCTGTATTGACCGGAGATAACAACTATATCTAATATCTGATATGTTGAAAGTTTGAATTATTTTGGTACCAGACTTTTATAAACAACCTTGCCACTATAGTTTTTAAGTTTCATTTTATATTTTGTGCCTATTTGGATGGGATGATTTTGTCTTTATTTTATTTTTCTGGAAAGGTAATGTAATTCTCAAGCTTTTCCTCCTTGAAAATATTCAGACTTTGGTAGATATAGATTCTGGATGGTATAGATTCTGGATGCTGTGATAAAATTATAGATTCTAATGAAGGAACACTTACAAAACCCCAGCTGCAAATATTTCTACATGCACCACTCTGTTACTTAGGACAGTGTGGGAACAATTACAAATTATCTGCATTGCTCTCTGAAATCAAGCTGCACAAAGTGCTGGTTCTGCACCTGGGATGGGGCAACTCTGGCTGTGTGTATAGACTGGGGAATGAGAGGCTTAAAAGCAGCATGTGGAAAGGAACCTGGGGGTCCTGGTCAGTAGTGAGCCAGCAGTGCCCTGGCAGCCAGGAGGGCCAAGCGTGTCCTGGGGGGCATCAGGGACAGCATCACCAGCTGGGCAAGGGAGGGGACTGTCCTGCTCTGCTCTGGGGCAGCCTCACTTTGAATATCGTGTGCAGTTTTGGTCACCACAACAGAAATGACATTGAGCTGTTAGAGAGTGTCCAAAGGAGAGCAATGAAGGTGGTGAAGGGCCTCGAGGGGAAGCCATGTGAGGGATGTCTGAGCTCACTTAGTCTGTTCAGCCTGGAAAAGACTGAGGAGGATCTCATTGCAGTTACAACTTCTTGTGAGGGAAGGAGGAGGAGCAGACACTGACCTCTTCATTCTTGTGACCAGCAACAGAACCCAGGGGAATGGCCTGAAGTTGTGCCAGGGGATGTTTAGGTTAGATAGCAGGATAAGGTTTTTCACCCTGAAGGCAGTTGAGCACTGGAACAGACTCCCAAGGGAAGTGGTCACAGCACCAGGCCTGTCTGAGTTCAGTAAGCATTTGATCAATACTCTCAGGCATGTGGCGTGACTCTTGGGGTCCTGTCCTGAGCAGGGATGGGAATTGAGTCAATGATCCTTTGTGTCCCTTGCAATTCAGCATACTCTACGATGTTGTGGTTCTTTGACTCTATGAAATCTCAGTATAATTGCCAGCCCTCCTGCAGTTCAGTGGCCTAGATTAGAAATTAAATGGACCACTTGGGAGAATTTGTAGCTTCACTTTAGAAGTGCAGCTACATTAAGTTGCATTAATAAAATGCAACTTATTTATGTTGATTTTCTGTAAAGCTGTTTAAGGTAATTATATACAACAGATATGACACTTTGTAGTGCTTGTTCACAAACAGGAATTCTTAGTATATCACATATCAACGAATTGAGTTTTGCCACTTACCGAATAATGTAAAACTGGTTACAGGTTGTGGTTCTTTATTCAGATAACTTTTTTGTGAGCTTTTTTTGTGCTTTGGTGTCATTATGCTATCAAACTAAATTCATGCATTTTTTCCCCTTAGTTCAGTCAAGAATGACTAGATGCAGGCAGAGATCATCAGCCTGTCACAGCTTTTGTCATTCTGTGTGTGAAAGTAATTAGTGCTGGTTAACTGAACATGTGCTAATTTCCATCTGAAACTGTACTTTACCAAATCAAATTTCAGATTTCTCAATATAATTTAGATAATATTCTCTCTGGCTGTTTTTTCTTTGAGTACTATAGACTTCAGCTTTGCAGTGAGTCCAGAACAGTTCCTTTCTTCTACTCCCTCCGCCTCACGCTTTCCCTCTCTCTCAGTCTATGTGCTCTCCTGGCTGCAGCGCCTTTCTGGGCATATTCACAGGGAACACACAACAACTCTTGGAGCTTACTTACTACCAAAACCTTGAAAGGAGGTTGTTGTGGGTGTTGGTTTCTTCTCTGAACTAACAAGCAATAGACAGAACGAGAAGAAATGGCTCTCAAGATGTGCTTCAGTGAGAGGTTTAGATTGGAAAATTCCTTCACCAAAAGGACTGTCAGGCAGTGGAACAGGCTGCCCAGGAAAGTGGTCGAGTCACCATCTCAGGAAGTATTTAATAGACTTGTAGATAGGGAGTTTGGGGATATGGTTTGGACATGGCAGTGTTAAGTGTCCAGTTGGACTTTGATTGTGTTTGGGGTCCTTTCCAATGTAAACGGTTTTGTGATGATCCTTGTGCTTCTGTTCTTAAAGATTATGCTTTACATCCAAAGAAAGTAAATAAATGATCAAAAATTAGGTAAAACAGAGGCACTTTTCCTGGATATCTCTTATGCTTCTGTCCTGACCCTAAGGGCTTCCTTCTGAATGTGGAAATGACAGAGGGTAGTCAACTTTTTTTAAATCCATTTTATTACTTGATGGAAATTACTGCCTTTTAGGAATTACGGCAGTCCAAAGTCTTCCAAGCACAGGAGTATTGAGAGAGGTAGAGGCACCTGCCTATTACTGAGGTGAGATAGTAAAAATTATAAGAAAAACTGATAAGAATAGTAAAAGTAAAGTAAAAATGATAAGAAAAATGAGAAGTCCTCATTAACTTGATGGTTTTCTACAGATAATATGTTGGCATCTATTCTTTATTAGTAGTATTGTTTGCTACTAAATGGCAGTGTTACATTTTTCAAATCTGAATGCTTGCTTTTCACAGTGATCTATGTTGAATTAAAACCATCTAGAGAGTTTGAGAGCAACTGAGTAGATGTGTAATGAAAATGTACATGGTACAAAAATGGGATTATGTTTAAATTACACATTTCAAGAGCATGCATCCCAGAAATAATGAAATGCTACTTAAGTGCAATCATGAGAATGTATAAATCTTCAGTGACAAAGTGGTTGGATATTCAGACAGGAATGAAATATCTGAACAGTTCTGCTTAGCAGAGATTGTTGTTGTGCTAAATGGATTATAAAAGCCTACAATACCTGCTGCATACCAAAACTAAGGCTGATTTATAAGAGAAGCAAGTATTGTAGATATTTCTCTTATGGAGCTCAAGGCCATAGTTATATCTTACAGCATAATTTTTAAATTGTGTCATCTGTTTGAGCTTTATGTTAGCTGCTGGTCATGTCAAGCAGATAAAAAAATTTGTACTGATGTATTTATAGAAAGAGAAATTATTATCTTCAGATTGATCTTACTTTTCATTATTGCAATAAAAATCTTACCTGGATTGAGGTAAATTGCTACAACTGTAAATGATACAAATTGCTTTTTCTTGGAAATGCCAACATTTTCTGAAGTTTGAAAGTCTACAAGTACTGTGAAGTGCCAGTGAAAGTATTGGAAATGTCATAGTGTCTGTATAAAGGATTTTTCTTCAGCGTAGTCTTTATGGAGGATATTCCTGCAATTACTTGAAATCATTCTATTTTAAGGATGAGAGCTGTCAATATTAATTACATACGTACTGTAGAATTATAGAACACCAGCATGGAAGGGGACTTCAATGATCATCTGGTCCAAACTTTTTTTAGCAAAAACATAGTCTAGACAAGATGGTTAAACCTGTTCAGAAGAATGTTATGTGTCCAGTGTTGGGGAAGTCATAGAAGTAACACTTGGTGGGAATTAAAGGGATGGAAGGACTAGGAAGAGGAAAGACTAGGAGAGTTGTGATTGTTCATCCTAGAAAGGACATGAGCCAATTGCAGCCTTCTAGGACGGGAGGGGAGCCTGCCAGATAGATGGAGAGAGACTGTTTACAAGGGGGAATGGATTCAAACTGAAAGAAAGTAGGTTTAGAGTAAATATTAAGAAGAAATCTTTACTTTGGGGGTAGTGAGACATTGGCACAGATTGCCCAGAGAAGCTGTGGATGCTGTGTCCTTATGTGTCCAAGGCCAGGTTGTGTGGGGCTCTGTGCAGTCTGGTCTAGTAGAAGGTGTCCCAGTTTGTGGCAAGGAGGTTGGAATAGGATGATGTTTCAGGTCCCTTCCAAGCCACGCCATTCTGTGATGTTGTGATGATTCTATGATCCTTGGATGAGTATGCATTGAAAACCAGTGTTTTCAACTGAATTGTCAACTAAAACATCAGTTGTGGTGTTCATAATATAAACTTAAAGAGCTTCATAATCAATACGGATTTGGAAAAGTTTTAGTAATTCATTTTTTTAATCCTCTAAGGGGATTTAAAATCTCTTCTGTCTCAGAATTAGGATAGTTTAAATTGAAGACTTGGGTTCTCAAGACAAACATGAAAATAATGACCAGTTTTAAGCCTTGGGTACTAGATATCATATACTGGGATGGCCTCATGCTTTTGATTTTGCGTAACAAGATTGTTGGTTAAATTAAAATGATACCAAATTACTATAGTGTAAGTAAGGCTTAAAAAATAGTGGGAACTGTTTGCCACAGGCTTATTTTACAGATTTCCAGTTTCTATTTACAAAATTCCTGTTAATTTTGAAAAGACAAATCATTATGTTTTGGTTTTGTTTGTTTGTATGTCTGTTCTTTGTAGTAAATTACATTGACAGGAATGAAACACAGTGTTGAATCAGTCTGGATTGTTTACTGGAGGGAGGATGGCTGGCAGTGAGGGTGGTCAGATGGTGGAATACTTTCTCCAGCTTATTGGCACACTGAATTCCATTCCACATTCATTTCATATACATCCTTTATGGTCCCATTTGAGTCTTAATCTCAGGATTTCAATGTCTTGCGCTTCAATCCTGTCTGAATTTAACATTCTTATAATTGTTTTTTTCACATGCCTCCTCAGAGAGTGATAATGGAGTGCAGGTTTAGGTACACCTTGTATATATCAACTCAAAATCCATTATGAACCATTTCTTTCCTCTCTAGTCCTCCCCACTCCTACCACTGCTTCCCCCTACAAATACATGTTATTGCTTGATTTTTGGAGAAGTGGCGCAGATGCCTGGTTTCTGGAACTTAAAGGTGACAGTGACAATAGAAATTCATCAATGTGAACTTAGATGTTTACAGTGTGCCTGTATCTGTGATCTTGCACCAAGTGGATCTTGATAGGTATCATGAAGTGCCCACTTTATGTGCTGACTATTGTTAATCCCATTCCGATATACCTAAGATGTGCTGGCTTCTCTTTCCACTTCACATGGTGTTTCAACTGCATAAAGCTCTTCTCATCCTACCAAATCAGTTTACTCCTTATAACCACTGCGGTACTATGTAGAATTAATTTCTTATTTGATGTCACATGCTTTGGGCAGTCAACCCTTGCTTTATACTTCTTCAAGCTTCTGATTGAAGCAAGACTGAAGACTGAGAAATGAGTTCCAGACAAGTAATGTGTTCTTTGTTACAAGACTAGCCTTTTCTTGAGTTCTCCCCTGTCTGCTTGTCTATTCCATTCTGGCAAGACCCCTTGTGGAGTACTGTGTCCAGCTCTGAGCCCTTTACACAGAAAAGATATGGACCATGGACATGTTGGAATGAGTCCAGAGGAAGGCCATGAGGATGGCCAGAGAGCTGAACGTGTCTCCTATGGGAAAGGCTGAGAGTTAGAGTTGCTCAGTCTGGAGAAGAGCAGGCTCCAAAGGAGACCTTGTGGAAGACTTTTGGTATCCAAAGGGGATTTCAGGAAAGCTGGAGAGGTACTTTAGCAAGGTCTAGAACAAAGGAAATGAATTTAAACTGGAAGAGAGAAGTAGATTTAGATTTAGATTAGGTACTAGGAATAAATTCTTTACCCTTATGGGGTGAGACATGGAAACAGGTTGCTTGCAGAAGCTGTGGCTGCCCCATCCCTGGAGTATTCAGGCCAGACTAGTTTATACTTGGCTTTTGAGACCTGGAGTACTATTTAAATGACAATGTCTTCCACAGATTTTTATAGGCTAGGACAGTGGTGTCCTGCAAACACTTCAGAAGTTTCCGTGTACATTAACTGTACACTCAATAGGCAGCTGTTACTTCTGTGGTACCACTGGCAAGTGTAGAAGGCCAACAGGAAGGAAGAAGAGCGTGTAAAAGAATGGGAACTATAACTGTACCGTTAGTATAAGTAGTAATTAAAAAGAACCCAAGCCAATGGAAATAATAACATTTTCAAAAGTGTCCTGTAGGTGTGGACAATGAATTGCTAATATTTTATCTATATATAAGGTTAAAAATGGGATAATTGCAGTAATTTTATGCCAAGTGTTTGATAAATTTTTTCCAGAATGCATGTATTAAATTTTGGTAAACAATTCAAAATGTCTTCGGCTCCAATACACATTACAGTAGTGATTAAGCATTGCAAAAGATATGATATATTGCTTTATTCAGCTTTCATTGGTCACTTTTGTGGTTGTTTATTGACTGCCCCGACTTAGAAGCTGCCCCCACTTTAGGTGTTGGAAAACCAACAACTTCAGAGGTGTTGGAAGGAGAAAGTGATAGATGAGAAAGGGAAATTTAAGTAAAATTTGATGGAGATGAGTGGGAGCTAATATTTGAAAGTATGTGTACATCATGAAAACTTTCAATAATTAATTTGATTTTGTGTTTCTGTGCATTAAAGGTATCCTGAATTAGCAACTGTGTGCAGAAATCCCAATACTCTAATTTTGTATCCTGGAGCTGAAGCAACCAATTTGGAAGAAGTTGCAGTGATGTCTTCTAGTCCATCTGTTATGATTATCATCGATGGAACATGGAGTCAGGCTAAAGACATATTTTACAAAAATTCTCTCTTCCGCCTTCCCAAGCAAGTGAGTTATAAATTGTAAAATAAAAATTCAAAGTTTGTCTAGTACATTCTTGATTCTAATGAGTTAGAAGGGAGTGGTTCTCTGAGGATGTAGCCAGCCAACAAGAGAAAGACAACTTGAACAATTATTTAGGCAATCTATAAGATTGTAAGAAAGATAATTGTAAATATTGATAATTTGATAATTGATAATTTCTACTTTCTCACTTGAAATTTGCTTTTGTTTGATTTTGACCTAGCATATGTAACTTCATAGTGAATCATTGTTTTGCAAAATTGAAAACTAATTTGTGTAGAAAAACACACAACAGTGTCTTGTTTAAGATGTTAGAATAGAAAGATTGAAATAAGTGTTTCTTTTCCCCTGCATAAGTATTTTACATTGCAGAAATAGGAAAGCTGAAAGTTGAATTTTCAGCCTCTTAGGAAAGCATCACACTCTTCTCATATGTCGTCTCCAGCATATTAAAAATTCTGTCTCAGGTAACATTTTACAAATACTGTCCATTTGACTGTATGAATAATTTTGTATCTGTATCTTAAGTGTTTTCATCAGACTAGGATTGTTTGTGTACATTTAATTTTTTGACAAAGCTGCCATTTTTATTCAGGGACATAACTGAAAGTGTATTTTAGAAAAAGTATTAATACCAACAGTTTTACTAATGGAGAAAATAATTCCCTTCATCGTTGGATCATAATTAGTATCCCTGAGGCTGTTAAAATGTTTATTTTATTTTTAATAATGGACAGCAAGCTTATGGATCATTTTACATACAAGTAATGCTTTTAAAATTATTAAATCCTGCCTAAGGCAAATTGGAGCTGATAAAGACTTTGAATTGATAGAACATGTAAAAATAATGGAATGAAAATGCAGTAAGATACTACACCAAAAAAAACTCTTAGAAGATTGAGTAGTATTGACTATAATGGATGAAACCTCATTTAAATATATAAATTATTTATCTTTCAAAAAATCCATAATATGCAATTTGTTACTTTACATGTATTCTTCTGTTGCATTAGATTTCACCAAGATATTAAGATGTATCTGTGCACTACCACAAATGAAAAAAAACCATTTAATGTTTGCAAACAAATGTGTTCCTATCATAGGAGGTTATTACACCACAAAGACTATATATAAATCACATCTACATGTGATTTTATAGACAGCTAATTTGCCCATAACTGTTTTCTGTATGTTAAGATGTTTTGTACAAAATTTCATAGCTGTAGGAGCAAATGTAGGTGTAGGGTGTTAATCTATAACCCTCTGTACATGAACATGGATAAAAACATGTAGAGATGTGACAGCCCAGAGAGATTTTCTGGATGGAAGTGAATAATTGGGTACTGTGCACCTTTCCTCCCTGCAAGTGGGCACCAGAACTAACGACTGGATAGGACTTGTCACTGTGGGGTGAGTCACAGTCTTCCTTTCTGAGAAAGTTCAGAGGCATTGATTTATGAAACAGTGATGCAAGGGATCATACTTCAAGCTCTAGGAAAAAAATTCAGCAGACAGCATGAATATAAAAAAAACATTCTTCGTAGATTTGCTTCTTTGTGCATACATTAATTCTGTATTGCATCAATTGCAGTCTTTAGCATTTGCAGTTATTCATCAACACTTCACTTCTTATCTGGCCCTTTTTTCAAGGAAAGGTACATTCTGACATCCATATCCTTCTTTTTTATTGGAATTGCATTGCTGCTCTTGTTTTAAGGGGTTTAAATTCTTAGAGTAAATTAATACAGTGATACAGTTATTCTTGAAGTATTAAGTTATAAAAGTATTAATTTTTTCTTAAACTATGGTAGATGGTAAATATATCAGAGCTATAATCAATATTTGGTTTGATTTTTATTTTATACGCTACCTGATACTTTCTATTATTCAAATCACAGGGATGTGTTATGATGACATTGTTGGAGTTCCCAAATGCAAAAATAGCTTCCTGCCGGGAAAACTGTTTTCCCATGTTGAGGTGTGACCTGGCTGACATCAATCTCTTAGATCAAGTTTAAAGGTTACATGTAGTGGTTTGACTGTAATTTTTGCTTTATTCGTTCTGTGCTGTGCCAAGTTAGAGCTTGCGCTGCAGCTGCACACAGTCACTGGTGAGATAGGTAAGGCTCAGTGATGACAGCCACCGGGTGTGGAGCCGTGCAAGGGCTGTGTTGGAGGGCTGTGTACACACCTGGATGTTAGACTGAGTTTGATCATTTTTGTTGAAATGATCTTGAGGCACCTGTGCAGCCCCCTAGAAACTTATTAATGGTTAAAATTAGCAGTAATGTGGGAGCACATAGTTATGAAACTGTCTGCAAGTAAACACCAGCACTGTTAGGGACTGAAGTTTGTTCAACCTTTGGCAGTGTTCTGTTTCATCTTTCTCACTGATCTAGATATCATGGCCAACACTGTAGGGTTTTTCTGGCTTTTTACTATTTCTACATTATTTCTTGTTTTCTACGCCATAGTTCATATTTAAATGAACCATGTAGATGGCTTTCTATTTGAAAAAAGTTTTTGCTGATCATATCCTGAAACTTTGGGTTGCTATTGCAATTTTCTGAGACAAAAGTGAGTAGAATGTCCCTATATTTGAAATTCAAGAAGGCAGGCTTTTTTGGCCCCAGAGAGAGAATAAGGTGGATATGACAACAGCTATATAGAGGAGATGTAAAAAGTGAAGAAGATGTGATACCTGTAGGCATTATCTGTAATACAAAAAGAAGCTAGACTTATTCAATAAATGGTGATTTGTGCTTTTAATCAATATTCTGGAGGTAGAAAAGAGCTATTTTAGTAATGAAGACGTTAGCAACTACAAAGACACCATCGATTGGAGCCATTGAAAAGAATATTTAATTGTATTACTTTACAGCTTTGCTGATTTTGGGTAATACAAACTGCTATGTTGAATGATTTTCAAGATACTGTAGGATATTTTAATAAACTTGGCTGTTGTTTTAAATTAGTATTAAAATCTTGAGATCTCCAATAAAAGCTCTGTTAATTAACAGCTTAGTCAGCAGAGCATTTTTCCTTGAAAAAAATGTTAAATTTAAATTGCGCTCTTCCAGAAAGCCCCAGAGGAAATAGATATATATGAATCTAACATATTTAACTTTATCAGAAAAATGTAAATTTATGTCTTGATCCAGAATCATTCTTATTGTATGCAATTTTTTTTCTTAAATTACAAAGCATGAGGTTTGTAAACTTTTTAGCAAAAAACTATGAGGCACTGGGGTTAAGGTGACTTTACAGAATCACAGACTCAAGTAGATTGGGAAAGATTTTGAGGTCATCAAGTTCAATTTAGGACAGAACACCACCTTGTCATCTTGTTGGCACTGATACCAAGCACCACATCCTGTATTTCCTTAAAAGTCTTTTCCCCTTCAGGGACAGTGACTCACTCCACTGCCTCTCTGACCAGCCCATTCCAGTGCCCAATCATCCTTTCTGTAAAAAAGTTCCTCCTAATTTTCAGCCTAAACCTCCCCTGGGGCAGCTTTAGAGTGTGTCCTCTTGTCCTGTTTTTAACTGTGTGGGAGAAGAAATGGAGCCCCACCCGGCTACAATCTCCTTTCAGGGAGTTGTGGAGAGTGATAAAGTCTGTCCTGAGTTGCCTCTTCTCGAGGCTAAACACCCTGTGCTCTCTCAGCTGCTCCTCCTGTGACTTTAATAGTCTTTAATATGATTATTACATTGATTACGTAGAGTACTCCATGAATTAGCACCCTCTAGAGAAGCACATTATCCCAGGATGTTTTGCATAGCCACAACTGAGGAAGGGTCTGCAGGCTTTTGTGCAACAGCTGCTGTTGCAGAGGAGATGCAGAGAAGGTATTCAGTTACCTTGGAGAAGCTGATGCAGTAGTTTGAGAGAAGAACTAGCCATTTGTCACAGTTCATGTGGTGGTGTATTGTGAGAAGCAATCACAGGCTACTGTGGGTGAAGCTGCTGCTGTTTATGGGAAGATAAGCACAGCACAGTGGGGAGAGATGACTTAACTCCTGCTTTTGGCTTTCTACTCCCTCAGCACTTCAGCACCAAATAAGAATTGAAAAAGTTAACCTGAAAACCATAGATATAAAAAGTAGACAATCTATCCAAAGTGCTTATTGTTTCATCAGAAGTAGGTAGTACAGAAATTATTTTTATTTATGGATAAGTATTTCTGGATCTCTGTTGTAAATCCAGGAATATGCTATTCCAAACCTGAATGAATTATTTCTACTACCTGATACTGTTTTCCTTTTTGAAAAATCCAGTGAAAGTCTTTGGGTCATCATACTTTTGTGGGATAATTGTAGAAAATAAATACCCATCCTTTAAAAATACTTGGAAAGTACTACACAGTGGTTGTTGTCTTTGCTGGCCACTTTTTGGAAGGGATGGGAACTAAAGAGAAAAGGTTTACAGGACTTCCTGGATAGTATGGTTTACTTATTTCTTATTATTTTTGCCACCTTCCTGGTCTTGTGGCTGCCCAAGGTGCAGCCAGCTCAGGACAGGAGGGTCCCTGCCCTGCAGCTCCCTCCTTCCCCTCTCTTGGGGTGTTTAGAGATTATCTTCCTGTGACATTGAGGCAGAGCTGGGTTACAGGGCTAAATTTGGTGGGATCTGAGGAACTGTGTGATTGTTTTCATGCTTTGGTGGGCTTTGCACTGAGCCGTGTGCCCACTGGCGGAGAGATTGGTCATTTGGATGAAGGCTTTGAGTCCCATGTTTGTTGAATGTGTTTGCACCCCACCCTGGACCTCCAAGATGTGTGCTTGTCGCAGAGGTGCTGTCCTGCTTTCTGTGTGAGGCCTTGTCCATGAGTCCTGCTGGCACACATCTGTCCTTTCTCACCTGTCATCTCATCTGGCTCACCTCTGGGGAGGGCACAACAGAGTCCTCCCCTTGCCTTGTCTGCCCTGCTGGCAGTGTCTCAGCCCTAGGGGTGGCTTGGTGCCCTCAGGGCACACTGGCTCTG